CTCTCCCTCTCTTTCCCTCCCTCCCTCCCTCCCTCCCTCCCTCCCTCCCTCCCTCCCTCCCTCCCTCCCTCCCTCCCTTTCCCTCCCTCCCTCCCTCCCTCGTGACTTTCCGCCATAATTTCACTGGACGCATGAATGGACCCATTCCGTGCCTGGTCCCCCCCCCACTGACGTCGTGTGGCTGTGTGCCTGCTTATCGCACTTCGGCAGCTCCCTGGCGTTGCGCTGCTTGCCAGCCTTGCTCTCTTGCTCCGCGGAGTCGTCCGACACCCCCCCGGATCGCCCCTTCCCCCCATTACCGCAGGCACCGACCGGCTGGTCCGGGAGCTGGTCACCCTCAGCCATGCGGCACTCGGCGCGTGTACGGCACTCACGAAGCTGATGGTGGGGGACACTGGCTTCCGGGGGGGTGAGTACCAACCCACGTATGTATGTATGTATGTATGTCCTCAGAATACCTCGTCCCCGCGCCCAAATGTCCACCGAATCTAAGTTCCCTGCCCGCCGGGGACCTGCGTGCCCGTGTATCGAAACGGATCCCCTCCGCGGCCTCAAACCATTGGGTATGACAGCCGAGTCGAAGGGGCGAAGCAAACGCGGACCTAGGGCCGGTCATGTGTTGTACGGGGAAGCCCGTACATACACAAAAACACGCACCCTCGCTGCGCCCCAGACGCGAGCGCAACGACAGACGCGATCACATATTTCCTCCTCCCCCTCCTCCCCCCCCTTCTTCATCCTCCTCCTCCTCCTCCTCCTCCTTCAACCCCGCCACGCAACTCCCCGCTTCTTGCGGTTAAATAGACATCCCCTCCATGGACACGTGCACGCAGGCAGCGACCGCGAGCTGGACTCGTACATCCGTCGGGAGGTGGACAACCTGGTGTCCCTGCTGGACCAGGCCACTCAGCGCTACGAGGCCACCCCGCTGATGATGATGGCGGTGCTGGTGGAGGGCGGCTTCGCGGGAATCATCGCTGCCATGCTGCAGGTGGGCTGAGCGGCTGGGGGGGAGGGGGCCGGCCAGGGGGGTGGACCAGACCAGAGGGGCGGCAGGAGGGTGTGTGTGTGTGTGTGCGCGCTGGCCGGTTGGCTATGCTGATGGTTCGCTGCATGGCTGTATGTATGTATGTGTGGGCGGGGCGAGAGTCGGCGTAGCGGCTCTTTAGCGGCCATGGGCAGCAGTAGGAGCACCGTGTGCGTTGCCAGCAGCCCCAGCAGCGGCAAGATTGGCAGCAGCAGCAGCAGGAGCGCCAGCAGCCGGGGCAGGCACACTGCCCCGTAGCTCAGCTGCCAGGTCCCAATCCTGGAGCGCAGCGGCGTGTTTGGACTGCAGGTGCCGCGCCAGCGCCCGCAGGGAGTGGGCCTCCGCCAGCCGGTGGCGCAGCGGCACCGGCGGCGGTGATGAACTGGCGGAGCCGCCGACCAGATCCGTCCCCGCCTCCTCCTCCTCCGCCTCCGCCGCCGCCACGGTGCTGAGCATCCCCGTTGCGCACCTCCGTTCGCCTTCACCCTCCTCGCCGTATTCGTACAGCACGCCGCAGCTGTCCGTGCCGGCGGCAGCGGTGAGCAGGCGTATGGCGGCGGTGAGGTGCTGCTCGGCCAGAGCCGCCGCGCCTGCATTGGTTGGTTGGTTGATTGGTTGGTTGGTTGGTTGGTTGGTTGATTGGTTGGTTGGTTGGTTGGTTGGGACTTCTTCCCTGGCGTGCACTGCGGCGATCGCGGAGTGCTGGATCCGCCCACCACCAATTTTGGTCAGTTCTGCTACCGTCCTGTTGTACATCTGCCGCCCAGCACTCGTTCCTTGGTGGCAGCAGCTTCACTCGCTCAAGTGGTTCGTCTTTTCCCACCCACCACCACCACCGCCACCACTACCACCACTATTCCTGCCACGGACAGCCTAGCTGCACCAGCATCATACTCGCCACTTCTCACTCGCAGGCTCCGTTTCTTGCTTCATGGTTACACGGGGGCTGCCCATCCGTAACCACCACCACCACCACCACAAGGTTCATGCAAGCGCGCGTCTTTCCTATTAGTTTGGTCCTGGTAGGCTAGTAGCAGCTGCCACGTGTGTTGATGCCCCTTCGCGGTGGCCCCCCGCGGCAGCTATATCGGGGCCGGGGGTGAAGACCCGGAAGTGAAGGCGGCGCCATGCCAATGCGGGCGTGTGTGTGTGAGCTGTACGAAGGCCGGAGCAGTTGGGGCCCACATCCCTCGCACTGGCGAGTGAGAAAACGGAGAACAGCAAAGCCGCCGCCGCCGCCGTCACCGCCGCCGAAGAAACAGCAGCAGCAGCAGCAGTAGCAGCAGTGCCTCGCATGCCAGTACAGAACGAATAATGTTTTTTTTCTGTTTTACGCGCGTGCTTTTCTGTGTACATGTATGCATGTATGTATGTGTCTTGTAAACGGAAACAAAACACATACACACAGATCATCTAAAACACATGCATACATACATACATACATACGGACCATTGCCCCCGGGAGATCCCGGGATCGAGACCTATCAGGGTCAAAACATCTTCCGATGGTGGAAGGCAAGAGTGCCCCTAGTTGATGGACGGTGGTGACCTGGGATAAAGTAGACCTGCGAGCTGGCCAGGAATGGAGTTCAGCTGCCGATGATCCGGCAGATTCCGTTGGATGCTGGTGGTGGGTGCGGAACCTGAGCGACCCACTGAGAAGTTGGCTAGGGTGATGACTGGATGAGGGTGCCCCGAAATACCGGGGAAGGCAGGGTTTCGCCAGGTAGCGGCCACAGGTGAACATATGCCCCCCTGTCCCACACATCATACATACATACAAACACACTGATACACGCACAGGCGGCTCAGATCATTAAGACACACATGCATAGTTACATACAGATAGATACAAACATACGTACACGAAGATACACACACACATACACACACCTGTCGCCAGGGCCTCTCCAGCCTCGGCCATGTTCTCTGCGGCCAGGCGGGTGAAGTGCCCCCGATCATCCGCCTCCGAGGAATAGTCTCCGGAAGAGCTCCAGGGGCGGCAGGAGGGGCCCGACCCGCCCGGGGAGGTGGCCGAGGTGGGAGAAGAAGAGGAAGAAGGATAGGAGCAGAAGGAATACACGAGCTGAGCCTGAGCCTGGGCCTGGGCCTGCCCGGAGGGGGCCCGGCTGGCGGCGGCAGCAGCAGTGCAAGGTCCACCACAGCATCGTGGTGGGCGTGGTCTGTGGCGGTACCGCTGCTGCTGCTGCGGCAGGTGGTGGTGGTGGTTTCGGAGGCCTGTCGCAAAGGGGGCACTGACGTGGGCTGTGGCGGGGCAAGCTTGTGGGTGGGGATGAAGGAGGAGGTGGTGGCGGTATGAGGTCCCGGGCCCGTTGGGGGGTGAGGCGGATATGTTGTTGGTGGGGGTGGTGATGGTATGTGTTGTTCTTCCGCCTCCGCCGCCTCCGCCTCCGCCGCCTCCTGCTGTTGATGAGGCGAATGTCATCATGTGCTGGAGGGCGTCCCGCAGGCGGTGGAAGGACTCCACGTCGCCTCCTGGTGGTCCGTTGGGGTATGTTGGGGGCGGAGAGGGGGCCGGGGAGAGGGAGGGAAAGGGGGGTTGATGGTGGCGGTGGTGGTGGTGGTGGTGGTGGCGGCGGTGCCAGACCAGGGGGCAACAGCAAGGAAGAGGCAGCCGCTCGTGTGTGTGTTTATGTGTGTGCGTGGGGCGGGGTGGGGTGGGGTGGGGTGGGGTGGGGTGTGGGCCAGGAGGGAGTTGAAGAGAAGCGCCCAACGAAAAGTGCGATACAAGCATCACCCACCCACCCACCCACCCACCCTACTCTCGTCCCCTACCCCCCACACTTCCTTTACACACACATCCACCCACACATCCACTCACTCACGAAGTACCTTTATCCGGATGCATCTTGGCGGCCCGGGCGCGGAAGGCGCGGCGGAGGGTAGCCGTGTCGGCATCGCAGACCACACCCAGAAGGCAGCACGGGCAGGGGGGGGCGCTGCCACTGCCGCCGCCGCCATTGCCGTACGACATGTGCCGTTGGCGGCGTTCGCACGAAAACGAAGTGTGTGCGTGTGTGCGACGTGTCCGTGTCCAAGAGGCCACACACACACACACACACACCGGGGGGAACTGATTCCAGCTGTGTTGCGCTGTGCCTTGGAGGTGGGGGTGTGCGTGTCTGGCGTCTGTACTAGGGGGGTGGTGCGGTATGTGGCTGTGGGTACCTGGGCGAGCCGTCCGTGGTGTTGAAAAGAAACAGCACAGGCGGGCGGTGGGGGGGGGTGCATGTGGATTACCGATCCACACGGCTATGTGGTGGTCTCGGAGCTTTACAGGTAGAAGAACGTTTTAGGCGCTCAAGGCAATTAGTAGTAGTAGTAGGAGGAGGAGGAGGGGCGGCTGAGTGGTGGTCTCGGAGCGGCCGAAAGCACCGGACCGCCACCTTGCCCGGGATGGAAGGAGACAGACAGACAAACAGACAAAACAGATAGAGAGGGGAAAGACGGGTCTGAGGTGTTCGGGTGTCAAGGCCGGGCGAACCCCCCCGCCGTCACTTCGTCATCCCGAGGTTACAGTCGTCACAGTCGCCACGGACGCCTTTCGGTCAGTTTTTTACGTTTGCTACTATCTTGCCCTGGCAGCAGCTTCAATCGCGTGTGGTTCGTCTTTCCCCCCGCCGCCACACCCTTGTGCGCCTTGAGGGAGGGGCCCCAGGGGGAAGGGATGTTAGACCCTTTGCAGCCGCAGCGCCTGTCTGCCTCCTCCTCCGCCTCATCCTCCTCCGCCTCATCCTCCGCCTTCGCGCAGTGACAGGGAGTGGGCGGCCCCCCCTCCCTCCCCACCCAGAGGCGCGCAGACCCACCTAGGCCGTGGAGGAAGCCGTGGAGGAGATGTCCAGCTCGCCCTCCTCCCCCCTTACTCTTCACTCGTTCGTGGTTCGTCTTTCCCCCCTACTAACTCTACGTTGCAATGGCTGCTAGGTAGCTCGACTTGCTTTTCATGACCTTTTACTTTTACTTCTTTCTCCTGCGTCTTCTTTCTTCTGCGTTTTCTTCTTCTTCTTCGGTTTTGGAACATCGGCTCCTCCCGGGAGTCCTTTTCCTCGGACGTTCCGACCCATCATGTTGTTTATTGGAGGAAGCGATCGGGCAGTGGCGGCCCCGGGGAGGGGAAGGGGAGAGGCGCGCGCTAGTGCCGCGCCAGCCGGGACCAGTGCGCCTCGAGCCGCTCCGAGATCTAGAGCCCGGTGTTGTCCTGCTTGAAGCCAGCAACTCGCCATTACCTTGTGTCAGGGTCGGTGTTGTTGTTGATGTTGTTGATGATGTTGTTGTTGCCTTGTTTAGCACTGTCGAATGCTACAACTTGGTCTGATCGTACGGATTGAGCGCGTAATGCCTGTCGTACATTGGCAATTTTGATTGCGGTTGCGGTTTATACAAATCCCTCGGGTCTCTTTCACCTCGGATCCACTTACCACGTTTTTGTTGTTGTTGCTGTTGTTGTTGCTGTATCCTTTCCCACCCCACAGCGCATATTTTCGAATGCCCCTTCCTTTCCCTCCCCCCCTCTCCCCCCGGCCCCCAAACACACCCAACCGCCATCCCCGGCAGGGTAGGGACATTTTGGAGCTCACCCGCCGTGGAGCGCTCTTTCACCAAGTAGGTGTCTGTCTGTCTGTCTGTGTGTCTATCTGTTCCCGTCCATGCATT